AGTTTTGCAGACCATAACAGGACAATGGTGCAAAGCTTTTTGTGTTTCAGTCCACGTTGTTTCTCATCTCCCCTTTCTTGTTCCCCCGTGTAGATAAAATACAAAAGCAGAAACTCTGATTGGCTTATATTACAGGGGGAGGTGGTGGCTCCAATCTGACTCTGAAGTCCTGAGACCTCTGCAGTGATGCAGTCTGGGTAGTAGTAGTTTTAAGGTGAAACCGTCACACCAGCTTTAACAGGCAGAAAAAGAAAAAAAAACGATGTCAGTGTCGATGGTAAATACAATATGCGTAGGTGTGCTTAGGACGTGTGTTCCGTCTGCTACATAGGAATCCAGAAGAGGGCACTCAAGTATTGTTCGTACTGCAGTCTTGAGCAACTCCGAATAGTAGGGATGTCCGATATTAACTTTTTACCGATATCCGATATGGCAATATTGTCCAAACACTTCCTTTCCGATTCTGATATCAACCGATACCGATATAGACCTGGTAATATTTATATATTTATCTGTACAAACCACTGTATGAGTATGAGATTAATTAAATAAGCGACAATGCTGCCATCTAGTGACTTTCAATTTAATATACAGCCGTTTATCCCCAAAACTATTTTTAGAGCACATATGATTTGACGAAACCCAGGCGTTGCGTTATCGGATTTTCATTATCGGAGGAAAAAAAAACTGATAACGATTCTTACAGATATTACGTAATCTGCTAATATCGGTTGGCCGATATTATCGGTTGGCCGATATTATCGGACATCCCTACCGATTTGATTTTTGCACGTTTTAGAAATGATCATTTCGACCTCCTTATAAATAAATACCAGCCTCGTAAATACGGTAGATTTAAAATAAAAAAGGATCAGATTCTGTCCTGGTGCAGGTGACGTTCATGGCTTTCTGGGTTAAGGTTTGATAAAAAGTGTAGAGGAAGTGTCTTTGTCTCTGTGTGGCGAAGGCACGAATGGCTGGATGGCTAAAGCTCGGGAGTGACGTGTCTGGAGTCTGCTGTATAGTCCAGAAGGCTGGTTGGAAACAGTCACGTTGGTGAGGAGGATGAAAATAATGAAGGGGATGATGGGAAAATAATTGTACAATTTTTTGCCTCCTGTATTATCCAATCTCTGTTCAATAAAGAAACCAGGTCTTTTGAAATATAAATCCAACATGTAGAGAGAGAAATTTGAATTTGGACATTTGGTCTTACTGTTGTGGCATTTAAGAGAAATAAATCAGTGTGGATTAGATTTAACCGTTTAGCGACTGGGAAAAAAAAAAAAAAGAACTTACATATTTAATCAAAGGTTATAACCTCATCAAACCTACACCAGCTTAAGCCTAAGGCAGAGGTTCCCAAAGTGGGGGGCGGGCCCCCCTAAGGTGGGCGCAGTGCCATTACAGGTCGTCAGGGGTCGCAGATGGAATGAATTGATGCAACTTAACGCAGAATATTGTCCAATGCTGTAACTCAATTATTTTCTGTCATGTCCCCCCCTTGGGGACAGAAACGTTTTCACGCCCTCGCCCCGAACTCACACCCCTGTGAATTGAAATACTATTGCGAGCCTGATAACATGTATATTTTTTATATGTACAAACCACTGTATCATTTGCTGCCCCCTAGTGACTGGAGAGGCTTGTTATCATTTAAGCATTACAGCAGTGGTCCACTTATGTCCAGCGTGCCATATTCCATTGGAAGCCCCTCACGTCCCGCCCCCCCGGCACCTAACCGCGCCTCCCCAGTGGGTGCCGCCCCGCAATTTGAGAACTACTGCTGTAACTGTTTAACAAGAGACTGGCAAAAACTGATTGATTGAAGGAGGTGTAAAATGAATATCGGTAAAAATATCGCCGATATTTTTAGTTCTCGCTTTGTTTTGGCTGTTGCGCGTTCGATCTGTTTGATCTCACTCCTGCCAACTCCGACCGAAGTTAGCAATGCTAGCATAAAACGGACAAGTGTATGGTGCGTAAAAACAGTAAAAAATATGTGAAATAACCGAGTCTGAAAAAAAAATAAAAAAGCGTGTATCTGTTTTTCTTTAGGGCCGGGGGACATCAAAACGTTCTGACTAACCAAAGGGGGGGGGCCCAGCAGAAAACGTTTGGGAACCACTGGCCTAAGGTATCTCCACTGTAATCTCCAGAAGGATGAAATGTTATATATTATGATTACTGTGTCTAAAGACAACCTCAGTGACTAAGACATACCACAAGAGGCAGCGGTGGACCAGCTGTTTCTGTTGACCTGTGAGCTAAAAACTAAGATCTTCGTCATCAGGCTCAACGGTGCAGGAGAGAGAACATCAAGTTCAAATTCAAATTATAACGGCAAGAAAAAGCATGTCAAACTATTTCCTTAAGGCCCTGTAGACTTAGGCTAACTGATAGCTGCTGTTGTTCACCAGCAAATTAAACTTCAGTGACAGCGAGTACGTATATATTTTAAAGAGCGCCCTCGACTTTAAAAGTCGTCCCTCAAATGAGACGACGACGACTGATTCAATGTGATGTTTTACGTATCGTTAGCATCAGCGGTGTAAGTTCTGCGTTGGTAAATACCGACATACAACTTCAGAGTTGACCGCGGCAAAACTCCAGAGATGATAGTAACCCTGGGAGTACTCGAGGTGGCAGCAGTGTACTGTATATGCTGTTTGGCAGTTTGTGTAAATCTGTGAATCATCAGCATACAGAATAATCACTGCTCCTACGACCCTGGCTGTTTCCAACAGCCACCAGCAGGGCTCCGCCCCATTTCCTGTTGGAGGCAGAGCGGCCACTGTCGTCCCCATTTCCTGACGAGCTGCTCGCTTTCAATTTTGCTCTTGTTCGTTCGCTCACAACGCCGGCTCCTCCTCGTCAATAAAGCTGATGCGCTCCACAGGAGAGGAGGAATTCCTCTCCTCTTCCTCCTCCTCCTCCTCCGCTTCCTTTTCGCCCTGCTGACCCGTCCGCTCGCGCATCTCCATCTCTTGGGGACGAGTGCCCGCTCCACTTACACCGCGGTGGATTTGGTGCTCGTGCGAATTGCGCCAGCCGGGCAACAGTGTGTCCGCCCGGCTTTTCTGTTTGCTAAAGTCAAGAGACAGCGGCAGGGAGAAGGTGGACGGATGGAAAGGGACCGACGGAGATATTACTGAAGGGTTAGAGGGTGGAGGACCGGGCCGTCTGTCTCTGGGGGAGGAGGAGAGTGACGGCGGGGCTGAACAGTAGGGGTGAGAGGACGGAGGTGGAGATAGAGACCTCTCTTGAGAAGGTGACGGTGGGAGCAGCAAACCTCTGCTTGTAGGCCGTGAGGGGTGCGGTCCTTGGCAGGGGGAGCGGGAGGCCGAGGGAGAGAGAGACATGGAAAACGAGAGGGACGGCGACGGGGTCTGAGAAAGCAACAGCGGCTGCTCCTGCGCTGATGGAACAAACGTCCCGTTGGTAGCGGAAGCGCTGCGGCTCCGCATGGCCGAAGGTTCCTCAGGAAGAACGTTGGTGTCGCGTGAGAGGAGGTCACAGTTTATGGAGCAGAGAATTTTGGCCACGGGGGGTTTACCTGGAGATGGATTAGAACACATTTTCTGGGCGTGAGGCATTGGGAGAAGACATCGAGGCAAATCCACGCCCTCGATGTCTCCACTGTCCAACAGGGAACACGTGTCGGGTCTCTGCAGGGAGCAGGGTGTGGCGGAGGGCAAGGGCACAGAGACGCTTGTCGACAACTGGCTGGCACTGCTGGGGGGCGGGGTTAGATTTGGCACCGTGAGGCTTGGTTGCGTAGCTGCTTGGAGGAGGGGCTTGAGGATAAGCGTCATTTCCTGAAGCTCCTGGCTGAGTCGCGAGACTTGTTTAGACAAAGTGTTCATCTGCGGGATAGACAAAAAAGATGGAGGAAGGGCTCAAAGAAGGAATCGGATTTCTGCCAGGTTGGCGTTAGGGGTGAGGTTGTGTAGCAGTTCGGACTAGCATACGGTGTAGCTAATGTCAGTAATAAATCAACACTCACCTCCTCTGTCAGTTTATGTACACTCTGCTTGATCTCAGTGTGTTCCCGAGATACTGCAAACACACATACACAAGTTACTGCAACTTCAAGAAGTATTTTTCAAAGTCAAATCATGCATTGAGGGTTAAAATGAAGATGAAGTCAAACTCAGACAATCTAAAACACTCGCTGCATGAAACACTAAATCAGGGGTCCCCAACCTCTGGTCTGGGGACCGGTGACGGTCCATGGGTCATTTGGTACCGGGTCGCAGTGAGAGACAGTGAAAAAATGTACTTCAGTTTTACTGATTTTACTTCATTCAAAAATAATTCGGTCATATCCCTTTACTTTTTTCAAGTAACGGGATATGAAGTCCATTCAGATTCCGATACTATAAGTTGAAAAGATGTTTTTTTTTTTTTATGTAATGATCCTTCAACGATATGCGATATTGCTGGTCCGCAGTAATGGCTGATACTGGCTGACCGGTTTTTGGGAGAAAAAAGGTTGGAGACCACTGCACTAGATCAGGCTAATATTAGGTTCGAAATTTGACTAGCGGGCTAGTTCAGTACATGTATCAGTTGGATGTAGAATGCTGCATGAAATAGTATGAATAAAATGCACAAGAATAAACCTAAACTTCAATAATATGGCATTCAATGTCAGGCGCCATCTAGTGGCATCAACAAAAAATTATAGTTAATTCGTTGTAATGCATGAAACAGAAAGCTTGATCTATATTAAGTCAAATATATATATATTAATATATTATATATTATATATTAATTAATATATATAATATATATATTATATATATATAATATATATATATAATATATAAATACAAAATTTATTTTCATATTCAAAAATACAAAACACATGTTTCTGCAATATAAAAATAAATTTTGTATTTATATATATTATATATATATATATTAATATCGGTAAGAGGCGCTATCGTGTGTTTCCTCCGATAATTAAAACTCGATAACACAATGCCAGGGTTTTGCTCAGATGATGCGATTCGAAAATAGTTTTAAAGTGAATTATTGTCATTGTGACACTGCACAAAGTGCTGCAAACGGCTGCATATACCGGTATCGGTTGATATCGGAATCGGAAATTAAATGTATGGACAATATTAGCAAAAAAGTTAATATTGGACATCCCTAGTCTTTACCATCCCTTGTACCAGTGTTTGGTGGACTGGATTAGAAAAAGGCATGACATACCTGGTCCACGGGCCATAGTTTGGTGTAATTTAGTCTTAGAATAATTCTTGTTTCATCAGTAAAAGCAGAAACCGTGACAGTTTTTATTTATTCTGTTTTACTGCTAGCATGCTAACCTGACTCTGAAGTGTCTGACTGCAGGACAACTAGAGAGTCTGTCGTACCTGGTTGGGGTGAGGATGGAGCTGCTGGTGACAGACTGGGGCTGAACTCGAACTTTTGCGACGAAGTGGAACTCGTTTCCGCTTCGATGCCGTCCACAAATCTGCGCAGACAGATAAATTAGTAGGTCAGGTCGGTGTAAAAGCGTAAATATTAAACCGCGGTGGGCGTGCACGTATGTTTTCTCTCTGGGTGTTAACCTGGGACTGAGCTCGGGTGGGGCTCCACTAAAGCTCAGCACTGGTATCTGCAGCGTGGCGGGACGGCCGTGCTCAGCCGGTGCTCTGAAAGGTCGTGGTGGAAGCAGTGGGGAGCGAACGGGGGAGCTGAGACCGCGACTGAGACGCAGAGGAGACCGAGGAGCGCGACACACAGAGCTCGGGTCATCATCGCCTCCTTCCTCGTCCTCACGAATCGATGGCAGCTTCTTCACCAGGCCGCCGTTACTCTCCCAGTCTACCTGTGTGTGTGTGTGTGTCACGGACGCAAGAGAAGTGGGGGAAAGAGAAGGAGAAAAGAGGTGTTAGTTTTACAGTGGAAGAGAAAATTTTTTGAATACATAAAGTATTAACTTTAAACAGTGATAAAATTGATATAAAAGTGTAAAAATAGAGAAGGACTGACAAAAGGAAAAGAAGAAAAAAAAAAGGATGATAGATGATGAGAGGTTAACAGCAAAATTAACAGGATAGAAGAAAGAAAAAAAAAGGATGATAGAGGATGAGAGGTTAGCAGCAAAATTAACAGGATAGAAGAAAGATGGAAAATAATTAAATGTGTGAGAGACAGAAAAATACTACAAGGAAAATACAGAAAGTGCAGGGAAAAGACCAAGAAGGAAGGTGAAGAAGACAAAAAGAAAAGAAAAACGTATAGTAAATAAGAGGTAATAACAGTATCTGGCCAGCAGGTGGCGGACAAACACTTGAAGTTTTACATTTTGTACCGACAACAAATTATACTGTAGGTTCAAAGAAAATACCCTGTAAATTATTATATACTTTTTAGAATACTAATGCACGTTTTTTTTAAAAATTATTATTATTATTATAGAATACTAATGCACGTTTTTTAAAATTATTATTTCGTGTTGTTGTTTTTATAGATGTAATTAAGAAACACCTCTTTAATAACCACAAAATGGTGTTGCTGTTGTCTCAGCTAATTACTAGAGCCACTAAATCGTGTTTATTGATTTGTAAAGTATGGGGAAGGATTAGGAGGTTATGGAACTATTACTTTTTGGAAAATAAAAAAAATAGTATTCACGAAGAATGTTTACAAACAGCTGTCCAGGAATCCTAACCTAATCTAGAGGTTTGGTTAGTTGCTGCTAACCTGGCTAACTCGGGGCTAACCAGTTAGCCACGTTAGCTGCAGCTTAATGGCCGCAGCCAACAGGTCTGTGTCCTGTATTTAAATGGACTGCAGCTGATGCTGTCTACTATAGCACCAATTTTGCAGGTATGTGGTACACATGGGCTGCAAAAAAGGACATTTCCACAAGAGAAATTGTACAACAAAAACAGTACAATGTACGTAAAAAACTGTAAACAACAACATAGTATTAAAGTGAGAGAGTGAATACTGTGTTTATTCTCAGTATATAAAGGCTGTTCATTCCAACCTAACTCTAACGGTGACTAATAAATATCTAATAAACATCCTTCATTACACATAACACGAACCAGTCAACGGCACGACCCCTGTTGTCAACCGACTCCTTTCATCTTCCTGCTCGGC